GGAGGGGTTTTTAGTGGGTAGGCATAGGCTAGCTATGAATCCCACACGCTGCGGGTTGCGGGCCCCGATGTGTCTTAGAAGATGTTTTCCTGCCCACGTAAAAAAAAACCCACACACACACATTGAGAGAGACAGATACGCACACAGACACGAACGCGCACACACGCCCACACTGACACGTTCATTTGAAATTAGTGGGAAAAACAACTTATTTGTATACTTTCAGTAAAATTGGTAAAATGTTTGAATTCAAATTCTTAATTAAATTTGCTTTCATAAGACAGGTGATTTCAATGTGAGGTTATTGTTGTTTCTATGGGACTACATGGTCTGATGTAATGAAATTTCAGTTCAAAAATATGGGGTAGGTCTACAACATATGTGAATTATCCCTTTCCTTGTTATCATCTTGTAATATGATGTGAATGCACTTGGCAGTGAAAGCGTTAAGCTAGAAAGGATAATACTTGAATAAGGAGCTGAAAAGTGCACTCAAAGCAAATTGATAATTGTGATACTCATAAGAAAGGATGAAAATGCAGTAGATTCCTAAAAATATCGGCCTCCTACGACATTCTGTTGCTTACTGACATACAATGAGAAACTTGTTTTTCATGATTTATTTTGTTCTCAACATCTATTGCATGTATTAGGCTGAGAAATTGCAGAGGCAGTGAAAAATAATTTTAGAAGTTATTTTTGTCAATCAATTTTGGCGCCAAATAAAAAAGACAAAAATACTTTTTTGAAATTTATTTTCAATGTGATGTTATAGTAGTCTCAATTTTTCTTCCTACGATGTCTCTCATAAAATTCAGTTACGTTTTCATATTTTTAAAGAATGTCTACAACGGCGAAATAAATTAAATATCAGTTTATAAATTTGAAATTCACGCCAAAATTTGAATAGAAACAATGCCATAGACAGATTTTTTTTGGAATCTACGACTTATTTATTCTCTTTGATATAATATCGAGATTATCAGCCGGAGACGATTGCTGAGATCGTTAAGAGGGCAGTAGTGCTATAGCGATCTCGGACCAGAAGACCGCGGGTTCGTATCCCGCCTCTGGCATGGGTGTATTTGCGTATGTCAATATGTGTGTGCCGTCCTTTCATCCCACATGGATCTTCATCCTCCATACCCACAGGACTAACCACCTTAGAGGAGAAAAATCGGGATTCAGCTAAAATGTTGACTCCCGTCCCCCACCCAGATAAAGGTACTTGCAACTGCCGAAGCCGGATGCACGCGTGGTCAGAGATGGCCTCTACGCGAAAAAAATAACAAACGAGATTTTATTTTGGGACACTTCACCTCCTTATTCGGCTACATATCCTTTTGAATTACGCTCAACTTTCATGACATTAGGATGCATTGTGTTTAAAAAAGTAATCTGAAATTTTAAATGTGTTTAAAAATACAATAAAACCCTGTCTAAGCCGGTATCTTTTGGATGCAACATTTTCTTCTATCTTGTACAGGTTTCTGGCGTATTCGGTTGTGCATTAAAACTGTCAATTCCGAAAACACACAAAATAGTTGAAAGATGGAATAGGTTGTATGAGGAGTCTAAAAATAAATTTAACATTAAAACTACATTCCAAAGAATCGAAGACGTCCGGTGAAATACAAAGAAAATGACGTAAAGAAACGCACCGCTAAGTTTAATGAAACAAAGGAATTCATGAACTGTAAAATAAATATAATTTCCTTCAATGTTTGTTCGATCAGATGAATACATCTGATAAATGAGGCTAAAGCTATTCGCATAGGTCCTCGTGAATACTGGCTACCCCTACAAAAATCTTTCTTAACTAATTTTTGACTTTGTTTTTATGGTGTTATACTCATGCTTCCCAACTTTAAATTTCTTCAACTAAACCTTGACCGAACTGTTTGTTCGTGTACTTCAATTAGTCTGTTTGCCTCCAAGAGTTAACGTTATCAATTTGCCGCCTGACATAAACACTTGATTAACACAATACTTGCAACTCGTCGTACTGAAAAACGGTAAAAGTTTAGAACCACTAGACCCAAAACATTGGTTACAAGAACTGTAGAAGGATTGCTCTTCGCGTTTCTCATTCCTCCACCCAGGCTTGTGAAGATCGATCCTGTTAAAAATAAATATGGACTTTTGCACGTGTAGCTTACGAAATAGGGCCTCGGGACGAGCACAGATACGAGATTTTGGGTACGATGTTGCCAAACATACAAAGTTCATTTAAAAATTGTTTTTGTATTTGTTTTTAGTCTTATCGAGAATTTTAAATTGTGCCGTACTTTAAATTCCTTTCCACAGTAGACAGCTTTCCAGCCTATTCGATGTACTTTGCGTCGGAAAATAGTCAGTTAAGATTTACCTGCGAAGACAGGTTTCCGCCTTATGCGGGTTCCGCCGTGAACAGGTGCTGTTCTTCCATAATTGGAAGAGAGAGTTGAACAAAAATATCTTGACAACAAACGATAAAGAAGGAATTTCGAGTATCAGATAATATTCCCATAGAAATAAGAAGTTCTTTATCTTTTCTCTTTTCGGGGCCTCTGCCTTTCCTTCAATTTGTTTCTTTCTTTTCTTCTATTTTTCACTTTTATTCTTTTGTCCTTCCCTTTCCATCTTTCTTTCCTTCCCCTTTCTTCCTCTTTCTTTCCTTCCTTTCTCTTGCTTTCCTTCCTTTCTCTTGCTTTCCTTCCTTTCTCTTGCTTTCTCTTGCTTTCCTTCCTTTCTCTTGCTTTCCTTCCTTTCTAATCTCATCTTGTGTTGACACAATTAGATTTTCAACTGCCCGACCGAGTTGGAACGTCGGAGCGGTTTCTTTCGATGGGCACGCAGAGTTAACACAATGGGCCTGAGTTTGAGTGTCGGTGCTGAAAAAAAAATTCCTGGTTGAGTCCTGGTTTGCAGGCTCATGTATTAGTAAAATATTCCGTACTATTAAATGTACTTACAAATAATGGCAGAAAGTATGTGCCGTGGCAGCGCCACTTAATTTGTTTCGTATTTTCGCGTAAGTAAATGTGCTTTTGTAAATGCAGGTGTAAAATACTATTACATTTAAAAGAAATTTTCTTGAAAGTAACGGAGGCTTATAAATCAGCGAGAGCGGAGGTCCAAGCCAGGCCACTAGAGCGAGGGTGGAAAGGCCTTTGCGAACTCAGCACGTTGAATTCTCGGGAGCATGAACGACGCGCACTGGCTTGCTGTCAGAATACGTTAATTAAAAAAAAAATTGCTTCGAGCATGAACAATACGTACTGAAATGAACAGTTTATTAATTCATTGAATGAATCCAATACAAATAAACACGAAAATAATGTCAAACGCATTTAATAGTTCACACTATTAAAACAGTCATTTTTCTGGTGTCTCCCTTCTCAAGTCAAATGACGGGGCACCATAAACTTCCGTTCTACCAAAATAGGAAATATGTAATTATACTAGCTTATGAGTTAAATTTGTAAACGTATTTACTAATATGTCAACATTTTAAGTAGAATTCGAATGAAACGTCAACATTGTTCACTTTTGATTTGTCATTTTCTTAAATGTGCATATACGTAAAATTACAAAGGCCCTACTTATGTGTATTAGTTAGTCATTTTCTTATATATTTTTTGAAATTAACCTCTTACTTTATGCAAATGTATATCCATTGTCTGTTTAGGCATTTTTTAACTTATATTTATTCCTTAAGTCGATAGTTGGGAATAAATAGCATCTGTACTAATCATAATGAATGTTGTTTCATGGTAGCGGAGGAAGCGGCAAAAGATTATATACAGAAAATGGCAGTATATTTTCCTCCAGACTGCCTCCCGCGTTTCCATTTGCTGCTTTTGGGAATGGGCCCCGATGGTCATACTTGCTCCTTATTTCCGGGGCATCGCCTTCTAGAAGAAACATCTGTCTGGATTGCTCCCATTACAAATTCTCCAAAACCTCCTGCATCCAGGATTACACTTACTTTTCCTGTTGTCAATAATGCAGAAGCTTGCATTTTCGTTGCTATGGGTTCTTCGAAAGCTGAAACTATCAAGGTAAGTTACAATCAACGCCAATTTGAATTTAAAAATTTCGGCTTAATCGAGATTTGAGTTATCAAAAGAAACAAGTTTTTATGCTTGTGTGGGGTTCTTATACGATGTGATGTCCCTCTTTTTTAATATTTCCCATAGCAGGTCTCTGTCCTCTCTGACAAAGGCCTTTTCGTAATCGATAGTCAAGATAGGTTGGGAAGTTATATTCTCTTACGTTTCTCTATTGTGTTACAAAATATACGCATGTCAAAAAATTTCGTCCTTCAATCGGATTTCGGTTGCACTTTCTGGGAATGAGCATGAAGCCAGAAATCACACGACCCAAGTAAGGAAAGGACAGAACTCCAGCTCGAGTATTAAACTAAAATGTAGCTCACTAGTTATCTGTAAGCTTAGAGCGATTCTAATGCTTGTCTGCTCTGTCTCCTGCATTAATGAATCTTGCGGGCACATATCCAGGGTGGTTTCAGAAAGCACTAGCCGACCATGGACCAAAGAGTCGCCATTGCTACACATCCCCTCTCCTTTCCTGGTACAACACATTTTCTCTGATAATGAGAACTCCAACGACACCACACGAGGTACAGCATCCTTCCCAACCTGCTTGGGGACATGGGGTAACGACTCCCATTTTTCGTAGTCTTGAAGCTTTCCCGCGTCTGCCTTGGTGAAAAGTTATCTCCAGCCATCAGCTGGAAAATGTCCTCTAGGGATCAATTGTGAGTGCCACTTTTTCATTGCTCTCAACGGGTGCCAAACTGGAGCATGCGAAAGCGTCACTCTTGACTATTAATTTTTGCTGTTCCAAAAAGATTTTGGCAATTGCGAGTTGCCTTTAACCGATTGCAAAAATGGAGCGATAAGAAATTCAAAATCTCCACTTCAAACACCTACTGCAGGCATTTCTGTAGAATCAATTACCATCCAGATCTTTTTCACCAACTTCCGTTTGTAGAATTGAAACTTTCCTTGGCCTTACATATGAAAAGAGCTTAACGTCATATCGTAATATCAGCATACCGTAACTGAAGAGCTGTTGTGTGTCACCGACGAACTTTCTTCGCAGTCCTAGTGGTAGCTCAAGGGCGGTAGGCAGTGAATGTCCCAAGCAGTTAAATAGAACACTCATCCACTCTGTCTTGGATTACGGTACTGTTGTATATGGGTCAAGGTCTCCATCAACGATCCGGTCATTGAAACCACAGTGCTGCTATATGTATCTGTACAGGCGCCTACCGCACGAGTCGCATCGAACGCATCTTGGTTGATATTGTAGATCTATCTACAGCATATCTCTGAGCTGGAGGCGAAATATTTTTATCAGCTGTTAGGGTGTGAATCGTCATGTAGATACGCCAAACAGTAATCAGACACTCCGTATCCATTCCCAGAGTGTTAGTTTCGTCAACATTGAGTCGGAGTCCTGTTTCCCCTTGGGAACTCCTCCGGGCCATAATGCTCCATAGATTGTCGAACCTCCCTAAAAACAACTCCCGTCAGTACATATTTAAAACACTTTCAGGAGATCCACGTTTCTCGGCCACAGCTTTATTTACACTGATGGTTCCTCACAAAATGGCTAAGTCGGATGTGGTTTCTGTTGTCATAGAACCACGCAGAGTTTTCGAATTAACTCTTCGTACAATATTGGAGACACTAAAATTTGTTCAATCGGTATTAATACGGGAAGTATTGCCGTGCAGTAATTCTAAAACCTCTCTCGATTAATCTATTCCTTCTCTGTAACATCTTCACAATGAATGTCGCAAAAGTAAAGCTAATGCTCTCGAATTTTTTTGTTGACTGTCTGGCTGCGTGGGAAGAACAAGAAATAAAATAGCTACTTACAGTGCCTTCGGATGATACAAAGCTCTGTCTGATCTCTCTTCGGATGATTCTTCTCTGTCTCTCTTCGGATGCTACGAAGCCATGAGTGAGAGACAACCACCGATGGCTTCGCCTTGCCTTTCTAGGAGAGATTCTCGGTAATGATCAGGAAACGGAATTTATTGTAATAAAAAAAAATATGTTCACAGAAGTATTTTTTCCAAAATATGTAGTAAAAATAGAATGTATGTACAATTGAATTTCATAAGGAAATTCAATAACTAAAGTACTAATTTCATTAGCAAAGCACGAAAAGATAGTAACTTACCGGTGTACCGAAATTCCAATTTCCTACCCCCGGAAAAATTACTACCGAACAACTATTATTCACTAACGCGATACGTATAAGGATAGATATGTGAAAGCTGAATAAAAAATATGAAAAAACAAAGCTCTTAAAGTAAGGTCTTGTCTGCCCCTGACGGCGAAGGAATGTGCTGGCATTAGATGACAAACTCAAAATATTGTCTTCCGAACGCCGATGTTACGAGTTAGGTCGTTCCCAGCCTAATCATATGTCTGTTCGCCATTTCGTTCTCGCCCGCTAGTTCACTAGTCCACTTAAACCCGCTTCTCCCCCCCCCCGCGCTCTCCATCGATCGATCGCGCTCTTCAACGGTCGATCGCGCGCTCCCTCCCTCTGGAAATTTGCCTTTGGGCGCATCTCACGGCACTTTAATACTTGTTTTAATGAGAGGGATGTGACGAAAACCGTATTGGAAACGCTTCTTTATACGATGTAAATTGTCAGTTTATATGAGCCAGGCATATGACGTGGGAAAACAGTGAATGCTATACACACAGTGACATTGAGCTCTTCTCTACACGTCAATGGACGGGGCGAATTGAAAAACGAGAGAAGCCTAGATGAAGGAAATGTAAAGAGCGACGGCTTTTGAGGCAGACTCATTTTGCTTCACAATTGCTCTTCTAGGCTGACTTAAAAAGATCCAACGAATAATGGAGCTGGACACTAGCGCCTGTGATGCTGTGACCGCTACATGCTTGGGTTTCCCCTACCGCTGTCCAATCTGCTTGTGGCATGACTTAATTGCACGACTACTAGAAAATTGTTTCCGAAAGATGCACCAATACGCACAAAGTGTGGTCTTTCAGGATGCCCGACGTCAATTATGTGATGCCCGACACAGAAGAGCTTTCAAGTAGGCCAACCAGTGAACTGGACCAAGCTGTGTAATGAAGATCCCACCCTCAAGGAATACCCTTGTGGTTAGTAATAGACCTACAGTTTGCCCAGGCCACTGACCGACACAGACTTTTTAATGAAGTTTTTCGTCGTCCTACCCACAAGTACAAAGCACCTTGACTGGACATCACTCCCTGTCATAGTGAAATAACTTAAAAAACCATGTGAAAGGTAGGGTTGCGTGGTCCCAGAGCCAGAAGACGTGTACAATATCTCTGCTGAGCAGGCTATTTGGACCTGACCCTTTCTCTTCATAGGGTACGATTCATGTCTACAAGAGTTCCTGTTAAATATGTTCCTCTGTTAAATGAAGGAAGGTGATAGTACGACTTCTCAAAACAAAAATAAACTATTGTAGAAAGAGATCTGTGTTGTTGACACGCTGAATTGCCCATTTTTCAGATATCTGGATGAGGCAATTGAGAAATCTTGGGCGGGGGCGTTCTCGCAGAAAGTCCTTGTTTAGAAATATTTTATCAATAAAAAATGCCAGTCACCATTTTGCCCGGTCTATAGCCAGAAAAGCCTTGATATCCCACAGGGGGATACGGTGCAAGAAAGAACTGCCCGATTCTCACTCGGAATGTTAAGAACGCCTGCGAACTTAGTAAAGTGGAAATGCATCTTACCAAGTCGTGTGGCACTCGAGAGTGCCACAACAACTAAGAAGACTCGCCATCTATTTCAAAGGGAAAATTGTGCATCTCCAGTCCTTTGTTGTGGAACAAAATCTACGACGGGGTTCTCAAAGTACATAAGGGATCATATTGATTTTACGCATGTAACGTCAAATCGTGAATAGAGGTGGTCGCAATTACTAAAGAAACCTCGCACGAAATCTACCGATGCTGAATAGAGAGCGCAAGCAGCTAAAGTAAATTTAGCGAACAAGAAACACTCGTGTCAAATAATACAGGCCAGAGGTATCGTTAAAAATGTCTAGTTACACACACAAGAAAACGCACGAACTTGCATACCTTCTGTGTATACCTACTCTAACACGAACTCACACATTAACACGAGAACGTGCCCCCCACACGCACGCGAACACGAAACTGTGCACCCGCACAGTCACACACACACACACACACACACACT